CGCACACACGCGCGCACACACACACGCACACACACACACACACACACACACAGTGTCTATGACACACACTGATCCTCAGTTACGACACTTTAATATCAGCAACAGTCAGCTCTGATCAAATATTCCCTCTTTGTTGAACTTGATAACACACATTTAAAACACAACACACAAAATGCAACCTTCTCCCAGTGCTCATGTACACACACATGAAGACACATGCGTCCCATCATGCTCTGCAGATAAGGCCCATTTGGAAAGAAGTATGAACAGTTAGCTTGACAACAAAGTACAAACATATTTTCATCAATCTGACATTTTCCATTCAAAAACAAAAGGGCCGTGATCACAATAATAAGACTCCAATGATTACTGATCTTGGGATTTTACTGAGCCATGTAATGAAAGTAACTTTTGTTTCTACAGATCATATTTTACATGTGAGGGCCGTGATGCCGACAACAGGTTTAGTTTGTTAACCCCAAACACAGGAAGCGTTTCTGTTCCAGAAACAGAGCTAACTTTAACAGTTACTCCGGCAAATAAATCAAATATCACATTTAAATTTAAATGTGGCTTTAAAATCAAAACTATGCTCTCTGTTGACTGTTTGCCTAACTGCAACACAAGTGTACAAACTCAGTAAAAACCAAGCAGAGTATTACTAAAGGAGGGAAGCATTTGTACATAAAAAAGAAACGTTAAGTGCACCAACAGATCCATATATGTCTCAACTGATGTTTTAACAAAACCTTTTTAGTACAAATAGCACACAGAGTACTGCTGCTGGAGCCTAAGAGTCACAGCAACAACAGACTAATGTCTGCTGAGGTCTCAGCAACAAGAACTAAACAGTCCTGACTCATGTCTGCACTTTAAGACAAAAACACAGTCTGCAGGTTAGAAATGAATCACAAATCAAACAATTTGGCCCAAGTTCAGACCAAGAAGACACCTTTTGGTACACGACTGTTCATGTTGCACAGCAGCGATCAGAGCTCTGTTGTTGTAAAGGAACCACTTGTGATATCGTAAAAGGCACCGTATGTATATGATGTACTGACTTTATTAAACAGATCAGAGGACAAATCATGGCGTGGCAAACAGTTTTTCATCAAAGATGCTGTGGACAGCACCCTGCAGCACGTCTGTCCTCCGACTTATACTTGCTCTGACTCTGGAGGAGCTGATCAGCACTAACTCATCAGGAAGCTGCAACAGAGACGAGACAACTTTCAGTCCATACGACACAAAGCACCATCTGAGCCGGTCGCAGCTGATTAAACAGGAGAATCCAACATTAACATGTTCACACCTGTATGGATATCCATGGTACTTGGCTCTGAAGATCGACAGCAACCAACTGAAGAACAGCATAACTAGACCGATACCTGCAACACACATAACTGACACGCAGGGTTCTGCGATTATACCTCCTTATGCATGATGCAGACAAGTAAACAAACTCAGGGACGATGATTTACTGACTGGTTTAGAGAAGGTTGGGTTAGACAAAGTTATTATCTGGAAACTGGAGTGTTTGTGTTTTCTATATTCGTACACAGATGCTCTGAGGTCAGAAGAACTTGGATCATACACAGGAATGCACGTACAACTGAGATGTTCTTGTTGCTCTCTGTTGGAAAATGATCTTAGACAACCCGAAGACACAATGTGTGTGTGTGTGTGTGTGTGTGTGTGTGTGTGTGTGTGTACACGTACTCTTTCTCTTTCCAATATCCATGTCTGAAGTAGCAGCTTCACACAGTAGAACTATTCCCATGGTAACAGCCGCATCTGACAGCTGGGTCAAGGGTTGAACGAGTTCATAGCATCCATCTACTCACAGCCAAGCTTTTACCTTATTACCACCATTCACCCCAGAAATAAACACAGACAAGGCTACGAGAACCAAGACTCTGCCAGGAAACGGAGCAGGTACAAAGGCCTGAGCCACTGGGACAGGGCCCAGCTGTTCTCTGTGGAAAAATGTAATCAATTTAAAAAATATACTCAGATATGAATCGACACTAACATTTAATGGAATCATTGTGCTGCATTTTGGCTTCCTGCAGCTGACACAGCACTGCTGCACACAGAGCTCATCCCTGAAAAAGCTTCTGCACACAGTGGCCCAAAATGACCAAGTGAAGAAAGTCTGCTGGAAATTCTTGCAAATTTATGCAAAATTAAAAACCCAAAACTATCACATGTACAAAAATATTTATTTGCCATGAAAGTCGAAGTTAAGCAGCGTGTCCTGTTTCTGCTGCTTTACTATGTGACTGAGGCCCAGCTGTGGTAAAGGCGCACACACTCTGACATGCACCAAGTCCAAGCAGTGGTCTGTAGACAGTAGTGAGGCTTAGCTCTGGGTGAGTGTACAGAAACATTTCTACAGCACTGAAGGTCTTAATGAGCGACGTTTTCTCCATCATCAGTAAATGGAAGAACCTGGAACCACAAGGACTCTTCCTACAGCTGGCTGCCCGGCCAAGCTGACTGATCGGGACAGAAGGGTCTTAGTAGCGACACCCCTGGGTGAAAGGCACAGGACAACCTGTCAGGAGTTGGACCAAAGCCACCAGAAGGACTCTCAGACCAGGAACATAGTTCTCTGATTAAACAGAGCCTGAAGTCCTGGCCTGAATCCCAAAGGTCATGTCTGGAGGAAAACAGGCACCGCCTGGACGGTGCTATCCCTACAATGGAGCCTGGTGGTGGCAGCATCACAGTGTGGGGATAAACTTTGGCAACAGAAACTGGGAGACAGTCAGGGTCGAGGAAAGATGTATGTACAGACACGATGATGATAGCCAACTCCAGAGCGCTCTGGACCTCCGACTGAGCTTCCAATAGAACAAGGAGTGGGTTCAGGACCACTCTGTAAAATACTCTCGAGCAGCAGAGCAGGAGCCCAGATCTGAACGTGGCTGAATCCCTCCGGACAGATTTGAAAATGGCTGTAAACCAACACTTTTAATAAAATCGAATGGTGCTTGAGAAGAAAGAGCTGCTAGCAAACTTTCACTTTTTCCTGTGTGTAAACTTTTGAGGCAAAAAGTGTCTGTATTGGATTTTGGAATAACACAGGTGGTGTTTACAGTTTGATGTGCTAATTCAGAATAATGTCGCACATCAAAGTGAGAAACATGAAAAAGCTACAAAGGTGCTTCGTGTCACAGCTACACTGTGGGCCGTGAAGTTATTTCAACAGTGGAGACAGGTGTGCTGATCACAGCCTGTGATTCTCTCAAACATGCATAAGTTAGACAACTAAGAGACATGGCTGAAATCCCCTGTGTCCCACCAGAGGGAGGCCCCGGGGCAGACCCAGGACATGCCCGAGATCTGGCCTGGGAACACCTCAGCGTGGCCCTGGAGAAGCTGCAGGAGGTGGCTGTGAGAGGGAGGTCTTGGACTCACAGCTTAGGCTGCCGCCTGCGCGACCCGGCCCCGCACAAGTGGCAGAAAACAGAATTTTTAAAAAATGGCCCAATATGTTAAAAAGGAGATCATGTGTTTGGTGCAGAGGGAAGCCGTTGTTATCCATGGAAGGTTGTTGAGCTGACAGAGCGTGTGTGTTTAGTGGACACGGCCACACAAGTGTTCATCTGCAGAAAGCTGAAGGATACTGAAGAGGAGGACGATGTGCGTCTCTGCCACGAACTGTGCCTGACTGCTGCCGTGGATGTAACTCTGAAAACACACAGTCACATCTTAGACTGGTCAAAAGATTACATGCAGTAAATGTGGCCATGAGTGTCAGGGTGACCAGCGCACACCTTTAATAACCCATCACTGCGTGCTCTCTAACAAATATGAATTTATTTGGGATTTTCTCCACACAGGCTCACAACTTTTAATCTTTTAAGACGGATTCGTTTCTCGTTAGTGATCATTATTCACTACAACTTTATACTTCCTTTATTTATTTCTACTGACTAGTCTATGTGTGAGGCCATGTGTGGAATAAAGAAAATCCAAAATAAATTCAGCGCGAGTCATTAAAGACGTGTCGTCCAATCATTCAGCACGGTAACCTGCATGACATTCATGGTCATGATGATGTCATCTCCTGACCGCTTCAGTCAGCTTACAGCGACACACGTCAGTTAAGTGCGTTGTTAAATAGTTGTAGTAACTCTGTTGGAGCCAACATGTTATATTAGTGACATGAGTGAAGTGTATGCGTGTCTTACAACTTGTCCTGTGCTGGGGTTTTTGTGAGCATAAGGTGGTCCTCTGATGTGGTTCCACATCTGGCCTGAGGTCATGACCAGGACAAAGCACTGAAACACAAATAAGATGCATAAAACACAAAGACGTAGGAGCCGTTGGGTGTTTTACGTGAACAAAAACATCTCATTTGACTGTAAGAGGTTCACTTGTTCACACATTTTATCACAAAAAAACCAAAAAGGAAACAGCTCTCCGGTTGTTTCCACCGTCTCCAGATTATTCCAGGCAAGTGTTTCCAAAATCTATGGAGAAAGAGTTTGTTTTATGATCATTACATATCAAACGTACAGAATTAAACTGACAGTTGGTCCTTCCCAGCTCATCCGAGGTACTGCACCAGTTACACTGAATCACATGCATGTATAGTACTGTGCAAAAGTCTTGAGCAGAATATTGAATATTGAAATGGAATTGTAAACACAAAGTCATGCAGTATATAGTACAGTTACATATTCTAACGAGTCTGAAAGCCAATATTTGGTATGACCACCTTTACTTTTAAACACAGTGCGGTCTCTTTGTGCGATCTCTTTGTGCAATCTCTTTGTGCGATCTCTTTGAGCGATCTCTTTGTGCGATCTCTTTGTGTGATCTCTTTGTGCAATCTCTTTGTGCAATCTCTTTGAGCAATCTCTTTGTGTGATCTCTTTGTGTGATCTCTTTTTGTGATCTCTTTGAGCGATCTCTTTGTGTGATCTCTTTGAGCGATCT